CTGAGCTACCCACTCCAGCCACTGAATACCTGCGTCTGAGTACGTCTTGTTTTCACGGCGGTAGTCGTCGGGTGGGGGGATTGCCAATGTTTTGGGCGTTAGAAAGTTTGTGGTAAAAACTTTCATACAGGCAGAAGCTATAGTCGCACGACTAAAAGGATCAACTCCTGTCTCCCCGAGAAAACCTTTCCGAAATAATGCGGCCCCCTGGGCAAGAATGTCCACATCGTTTTTGCAGTAAAGCAATGCCTGCTCTCTAAAGTCAAAAATGCCCCGGCGTACCGTCTCATACCACGTGAGAAAGTCACTCTTTTCACCAGTTGTCATGCGTTCAACCCCATAACAGCGTGCGGGTGGATAAGGGCCTATATAACTCAGGTTAGCCTCGGAGCTGAAACCGTGAGGGAAGTACCCCTTGATTTTATCTCCAAACCCCAAAGCTTTTGGCATGTCTGCTAAACGCATAGACAGATAAGACAGTGAGTCTATGTACCTGTGGCCGAAATCCTCGTCAGTAAAAGAGATCACTTTACTTCCCTGCATTGTTAACGGGGGCTTTAGCCCCTGTGCAACCATTGCGTTGATAATGAAATAGCTGTCAAAACCCTTAGCATTGTGCGCGATGAATGTTGCATTCTTGAACTTTGGGCTCCTAAAGTGTGCCAGAAACTGCCGTGCACAGTCGATTCCTTCGCCGACCCAAATTTCACCCCCCAAGGTTTTTGTACAAACCAAGAAAGGTATATGTACCCCATCTGCCCCCGCCATTGTTTCAAAATCATAAAACACAATGTTGTCATTGTGTTCTGTCTCTTTAGGCAGCACTCCTATGTAACACAAATGTTTTTCACACCCGAGCGTAGAAGTAGATGGTAATTTTTCCTTGCATGTCTTACATTTTTTCGTCACACACTTGTGTGTTTTATCTGCTGTACTCTTGGGGGTGTAGTAAGAAAGTTGGCAATCTGCACACTTTGTGTAAATCACAGTTACTGGCAATGTCTGTTGATCTCTGTTTCTGCTCTTTATGTCGAGAATGACAGCCGACTGTACGGCATGTTTTGTTGCAGTCTTTACAAAAGATGGGTTTAAACTCTTCCCGGGTGCATGCGGGGTCAAGGCAGACATAGCAATGCCCAGTACAGGAGTGACTCCATTGAGAACTGTACCCTGTATAGCAATGTTCACAGACATACGGAGAGCCTAAAAACCCCTTCAAGTTCTTAACACCATAGTAGTGGTTGTGTAGGAGGAACAAAAACACAGTTTTGTCTCGTGTGGGGGCGTCTGTCTGAAATGTACAAAGGGTTCGGTCGTCACTGTTTCGGTAAAAAACCACTATCTTACAGTTTAAGCTGTCTTCGAATGTATCAATGTCGCTGAATGTCACAGCTGTATGAGCTGTCAAACCCGCCATATTCTGGATCTCCTTACCGCGTTTGACCCCCTCATTATCAGTGAGGTTATCGTGTAACAACAGTGCTAAATTAATAGCAAAACACAGCTGGTTGGAGGAGTTCTGAACAACGTAAAGAAAACGCGCCTTCTTTTTAACAATCTCACTGTCTAACATTTTACTAATCATCCGTTTACCCTGAACCCCCCCACGGGGGGCCTGAACAATTTGAACCACGAGCTCCATGTTGCCTTCTGCCATTACCATGATATTCGATTGCATGGCTTTGAACAGCCCCTCCTCAAAATCATCCAGATTATCATCGGGACCATTTAAAATGGCTGATACGTTAACCCTTAGTTCTTCACCACGTAACTCAATTTGTATGATATCTTCTCTTTCTGCCCGTGCAAAAGCATGTGCACGCATGTTATGCACATTGTTCATCAGACCCTGAAAATAGACTCCAAAGTCTGCTTCACCCCCAATAGGCGGTAGGACTAGAGACTGTCTCATTTCTATGTTACCGAATACAGGTCGAGAGATAACACTTGGCTCGGCATCTCTGATAGTGCCTCCTCCATGCTGTGACAGGGGGCCCGGTGATTCCGAAGCATTCGGGGTGTCATTCTGATCAACATGTCTGTTAATTTGCATGGAGCAAGCGGGTGATTCTGAGTCATTCGAGCTGTCATTAACACACCCGTCATCTTGCATGCTGGAAACGGGGAGGCAGGCGTTGGGCGAAGCTTCGCTATTTTGTCCATCCAGACGGCGGGCATTGTCTAGAGGCTGCTCTAAAAGCCCTCGGTCGGCATAGCAGTCTATCACCCAATCCAAGGCACCGTCTAATGTTTTTGTTGGACTGCTTGAATTTGTTTCTGACAAGGCCGCGGGCTCGTTTACAGCTGAGCCCGCGTCATTTAACTCACTGTTGCTGCCTGAACACTGCGGAAATGACAGGTCCCTATATCTGAATTCATCATCATCATCACTGCACAATTCGTTTACATCCGGTAATACATGCAGAAAGGACCTTTCTCCATCTGTATAGGGGCTTGTTTCTGTCAAGGGCGTAGGCTCGCGTACATCTGTTATTGCGTCATTTAGCTCACTGTTACTGTCTGACCACTGTGGAAATGACATGTCTTCGTACACAAAGCCCTCACCACTGCATAGTTCATTTACATCAGGTAAACCCTCGATGAAGGACTTTTCGTCGTCTTTAAAATCATCCATGCTTGACCGTTTTTAAGAAATCATCCCCGCACAAAACATAAAAACAAAAAAATCAGTGGCACCGCTGAAGAAACATTCATGGACGTAAAGTCAACATACCTGGCGGATACATCAATAACAGTTTTACATGTGATCTACGTGTAGCTTATTCAGATGGTGTGGCCTTAAAGCAGACCTTAACAAACAGCGTTTGTCCTTTTGATAACGGGGTCCTCCCCTTCAATTGCTCTATAAAAGAAAAGAAAAGAAGAGGGTATAAGCATGTTTTTTGAAATACTCCAAAACAAAATCATTTAGCTATCATCTTTTGTATAAGCACACATAAAAAAGCATTTTTTACCTGGTAGGTTTGAATTGTCAAAAACACCGTCTGTGTTGAGATGACTTGTTGAACAGATCTGCGCTGAGCTGAGACCATGCAGGCCGCCGGAGGGGTGCACCACCTTTTTAAAACAAGTGAGTACGTTATTCTGGATACTTACACCTGAAAGAACATATTTGATTTTTAAGAAATATAGCTAAATACACTTATAGTAAAAAAATGTACACCACATTATTTGTACTTAGAACGATACTTCATTAAAGCTTCTAAATAATTACAATATAGGGCTGTTACACAGATGCATAGAGGTTATTTAACACGCACACACACACACACATCAAGCAGCATTAACTAACTATATGCTATTATAACATAAAAAAATAAAAGTACTTACCATATATTTTCAAAATATCTGGGCCTTGACGGGGAAAAGCGAAGAGAGGCTGCCTAGATGTTTCCGGGGTTACTTATAGACCGCAATATGTAAATGATTCTAAAAACAACCAATGGGGTTATTCCTGATTGTTTAACAAATTAGCATTATATTGTATTTGGTTTTTTATGGTAGAGCAAATACTTTTTTATTTTAGGCTATTCTCCTGTATATATGTATGCGTGTATATATATATATATATATATATATATATATACACATATATATATACGCATACACATTACAAAAAAACATGTAGATAGTTACATGAGAAAATAATGTAACTGCTTTCTCTGTTTTGCTCTGACCATCTGTCCTGAATTCGGAGACTTTTGTAATTAGCAGCCTCAGACCGTCTCCTCACACACACACACACACCATTTGCCCCGCAGAGGATGTCTGGGGGTTTTATGGTGCCCCCACACCTGTCTTGACTGTTCACCAAACTTTTCACGGCAGAGAATAGCAGAGAGAGAGAGTTAGTGAGATTGACAGTACTTTTACAAATATATGGTTGTATATTTCTTGTTATTTGCAAGTATTTGTAAGTTACAGTCAATACTGCTGTATACAGGGGCACAGGAAGTGGTTAGGTGGCGGGACCTTGCTCTTTAGAGCTGAGACATTACTTTTAAAATATATGGTTGTATATTTCATGTTATTTGCAAGTATTTGTAAGTTGCAGTCAATACTGCTGTATACAGGCGCACAGGAAGTGACTAGGTGGCAGGGACATTGATCCTATGCATATGTGATTCATTATAAAATTATTATTTTGTAAAACCGTAGGGGGCAGCATTTTATTTTCTCCTGGTTGTTACATTTCATGTTATTTTGCCGGAAGCGGGGGCGACCGGTAGGGGCAGCATTTTTTTTTTTTATCATTTTCAAATTGTTTTCAAATTTTATTTTGAAAACCGGCAGGGGCAGCATTTTATTTTTCTCATGGTTGTTAAATGTCATGTTATTTTATTTTTGAAAACCGGAAGCGGGGGCGACCGGTAGGGGCAGCATTTTTATTTTTATCATTTAAAAAATATGTTTACATTTTATTTTTAAAAACCGGAAGTGGGGGCGGGACTTCCGGCGGAAGGGGCGGGGCTTATGGAGGAAGGGACTTCCAGCTGAAGTGGGCGGGGCTTATGTAGGCGGGACTTCCGACGGAAGGGGGCGGGGCTTAGAGGTGTGACCTGTCACTTTCTATGCATACTAATGAGACGAAAGTGGTATGTGTATAACTACTATCATGACCTCAGCCGTTTCCTTCGCTGAGGGCATCTTGGGCAAAGCAATGAAATGTGTCATTTTAGAAAAACGGTCCACTACCGTAAGAACTGTGGTTTTAGGGGGGGCAGGCCAGTGACGAAGTCCATGGAGATCTCTGACCTCTGTCTGTTGGGAATAGGGAGTGGTTGTAATAGTCCTATTCGCGCCCTGGAAGAGGTCTTGTTTCGAGCGCAGACAGGGCACGCCTCCACATACTCCTTCACCTCCTTCTCCATGGATGTCCACCAGAAACGTTGTTTTATGATGAACATAGTTCTCTTGACTCCAGGGTGACAGGTGAGCAGCGAAGTGTGATCCCAGTGGATCAGCTGTGGTCGCTCGGCCTCCTGAACGAAAAGCCGGTTAGGCGGGCAACCCCTTGGTGCAGGAGCTCCAGCATTGGCTCGTATTACCTCCTTCTCTACTGACCAAGTCAGCGCTCCTACCACCCGGTTTAATGGGATGATGGGTTCCGGCTCCTTGACTGCAGGCACAGGGTCAAACAGACGGGACAGAGCGTCAGGCTTGACATTCTGAGACCCCGGCCTGAAGGAAAGAACAAAGTCAAAACGGTTGAAAAACAAGGTCCACCTAGCCTGGCGGGAGTTCAGTCTTTTGGCCTTTCTTATATATATATTCCAAGTTTTTGTGATCGGTCCAAACCACGAAAGGATGCTCGGCTCCCTCCAACCAATGCCTCCACTCTTCCAGTGCCAGCTTCACGGCCAGCAACTCACGGTTTCCCACGTCGTAATTTCTCTCTGCTGGGGAGAGCTTCCTGGACAGGAAAGCGCAGGGGTGACGTTTGTTGTCCTTCTGTAGTCGCTGGGAGAGGACCGCTCCCACCCCTTCGTTGGAGGCATCCACTTCTACCACAAACTGACGAGTGGTGTCCGGCAAGGTGAGTATGGGAGCAGAGGTGAACATTCCTTTAAGCCGAGAAAAAGCCTCCTCAGCCTGAGGAGACCACAAAAAAGGCACTTGAGGGGACGTGAGGACATGAAGAGGGGCTGCAATAGCACTGAACCTCCGCACAAAACGTCTGTAAAAATTTGCAACGCCTAAAAACTGCTGCACTTTCTTACGAGAGTCAGGGGTAGGCCAACAAGCTACTGCGCTAACCTTCTCTGGGTCCATCCTAACCTGACCTGGCGAAATGATGAAGCCCAAGAAAGTGACTGTCTCTACATGGAATTCGCATTTTTCTGCTTTGACAAACAACCTATTCTTGAGCAGCTCTTGTAGAACCTGGCGGACATGTTGTTTATGGGTGTCAAGGTCAGGGGAGTAGATCAGAATGTTGTCCAGATATACAAAAACGAAACGGTTCAGAAACTCCCTCAACACGTCGTTGATCATAGCCTGGAACACAGCAGGAGCGTTTGATAATCCAAATGGCATTACACGGTATTCATAGTGGCCTGAAGGGGTGTTGAAACCCGTCTTCCATTCATCACCCTCCCTGATCCTGACTAAATGATAAGCATTACGCAGGTCTAACTTGGTGAAAACCTTGGCTCCCTGAAGCTGCTCGAAGGCTGACGAGGAGAGGAAGGGGGTACCGGATTTTAACCGTAATGTCATTGAGATGCGAGTAGTCAATACAGGGCCTAGAGACCCATCCTTTTTCCCAACAAAAAAAAACCCCGCTCCTGCTGGTGATGAGGAAGGGCGAATAAGGCCTGTTTTGAGGGAGGCATCAATATAGTCCTTCATGGCCTCTTTCTCAGGTCCTGAAATAGCATATAGTCGACCCTTAGGAATTGTAGACCCAGCAATCAGGTCGATAGCACAGTCATAGGGGCGGTGAGGCGGAAGAGTCAGAGCCTTGGATTTACTGAATACTTCACTTAAATCGTGGTAGCAGGAAGGGACTGAAAGAGCATCAGGAAAATATATTTCTGGGATAGTTCCCTGCCTAACCCTCCCAGTGTCAATCTACGCTACCTGCTTAACACAGTGATCTCTGCAATTCTTTCCCCACCCCTCCACCCTCCCAGATTGCCAATCAATGTGAGGGTTATGAAGTTTCAACCAGGGAAACCCCAAAATGAGTGGATGTTGGGCTGAATTAAACAAGTGAAATGACACATTGTCTCTGATGTTTACCTGGATGCGGGTCAGGGTGCGAGGAGGAAAGTCAGAGGAAGAGATCCGGCTCACCAACGTACTCCTCTTTATTGGTGAGCCTCCTCTTTTACCGGACACGCCGCTTGTGGATGTCCGCGCTGCCCGCAGTAGAAGCACAGACCCTCCTTTAATCGACGCTGGCGTTCTGCCATCGAAAGCTTGGTGCGGCCCAACTGCATTGGCTCCTCCACGGAGCCAGGGGGCGCTGTTGTCCGGAACGCCGGTGAGGGGTGACGGGGCCTCCAAGAAGAAGTAGTATCCAGCGGCGAGCGTCTCCTCTGGGGAGGCGGATCAACCGCATCCTTGGATTTATTCCTTCTCCTCTCCGTCAAACGATTGTCTATCCGTATTGCCATGGATATGACAGAGTCCAAGTCAGCGGGCAGATCGAGAGGCGCCAGCTGGTCTTGTAGGGAATCCGAGAGACCGCTGACGAAAGCGTCAAACAATGCAGCGGAGTTCCAGCCGCTATCGGCTGCCATAGTCCGGAACTCGATGGCGTAGTCAGCCACACTCCGCTGATGTTGTTTCAGCTTAATCAGAGCCCGAGCTGCTTCCCTGCCCGGCGTGGTTTGATTGAAGATCTTTCTCATAGTGTCTATGAAGTTTTCCAGAGACCCGCAGATGGGGGAGCCTCGGGACCACTCTGCCGTAGCCCACGCTGCTGCTCGGCCGGAGAGATGGGAGATCATGAAAGCCACTTTGGAATTGTCCGTGGGAAAAGCAGCCGGTTGGTGGTGATAGTGTAACTCACACTGCACAATGAACGTCCGGCAGCCCTCCGAGTCTCCGGAGTATTTTTCGGGTGGAGCCAGACGCATGGAAGTACTGTGCGGCTCAGTAGACCGGTTGGGATCAGAACCGGTCGCCGCCGGAACCGGGGGAGTCGTGGGAGGAGAAGCAGCCTTCAGGTGAGTGAGCACACGCTGGACCTCAGCTGCCAGCAGATTCACCTGGGTTGTCACCGATGATTGTAGTTCCCCGTGGCTGTTGGATAGGTGCTGCACTCCGTGCTGTATGGCGGCCATCTGCTCTTCTTGTTGCCCAAGACGTTGGCCCTGAGAGCGGATGGCGTTCTTTAGCTGGTCTGAGTCGGCTGAGTTCATTTTAATGGTCAGTTCGTACTGTCAAGGAGAGACTCTGAGGCATGAACTCAATTGCACGACACAGATAGTGTTCTCAAAAAATAAAGACTTTACTGGAATTTTGCACAGTAATCAAAACAAGGAAAACAAATATACTCTTTCGAGGAAAACTAGCAAGTGATCAATGAGGTAGATCCGTGGGAAGTCCGTGAGGTAATCAGGAACGTGGGTCATAGTAAGACAACGAACTGACAATGAACAGGAGGAAGCTACCACAATATATACACAGGTAAAGGGGACACAGGTGGAAACAATCAGGGCGGGGAAAACAATCAAGGACGCAGGAGACAGAAGGGGGCGGGGAGCGTGGAGGCCTGAAATGAGAGGGATGATTAATTAAGGGAATAAACATAAAGCACAGGGCAAAGGGACATGACAAAACTAACATAAAGAATACACTTTCACTATTAGTTTCCTAGACATGACAGAAGGACTATAGGGTCAACAGAAAAGAGCGAGTTCAGCCCGTTGGTCATCCACACACCAGGTGCCGTACATACCTGACCACATCATGTGATCATTGAATGATATACAACTGTGCGTGGTTCAAACAAATAAGTAGAACACCAGGAATAATAAGCAACGGCTCAAATCTGTGGATCAAAATGTAATAATAATGCATCATCAATATTATTTACTAAATGTATTTAAAAAGGTGTAGAAATAACTCCTCTGGAACGACCAGTGTGAATATGTAACATTCATGAGAATAAAGGTTAGACAAAAGGACTTCTGTTCACACACATATACAAGTTTACATCTGTGTCTTTATTGTTATCATGTTAACAAAACAGGTGAACACGTAACATCTCAGTTTAAGGACAAGTTGTGCGAGATGCACAAACTGAGGGAAAAGTATTTGAACACTTCGAATCATTCCACATCTTTCCAAAGTTGTTGTGTACACAGTCTTCATCTCCTAGGTTGTTTGGTTCTTTTCTATACCAAAAGAAATACTTTGCTGCACACCCATCAGACCACATCCAACTTCCTTCTTTGGCCATGTCACGGAGTCCGATCCATGTTCCTCGCTCAGCAGGGTCAGAGCGTTTGATCAGGGCTTTGACAAAGTCCTCTTCCTCTCTGCTGTGGATAGACACCAGGTTGCCTCCCTGGGACACACAGTTGAGCTCTGCATCAGCCCAGGTCATCTTTGTGTTGAAGTACTTGTAGAAGCGGCCATTGAAGGAGAACCAGGAGGGACAGCTGTCTTGCTGTAGCTCCACTGATGGGTCATCTGAAGAAGACACAGCACCCAGAGCCAGGCCCAACAGGAAGAGGAAAGCCAGCATGATGATGATGTCACTGTCTCTGTCTGTTAAAGTTGCACTGAACCGTTGGAGAAGATGGAGGTTGTGAAGCTTCAAGTGACAGGCTGCTTCTTATATATGTGTGGGAATGTGACGTCATTGTCACGTGACGTGATCACATGAGCCGTAAAATGTGGCACTGCACTTGTATGTACCAGTTGAGCTGGTTCTTCCACCAGTTCAACTCTCTGTCCCTCATCATCCCCTTGAGATGACGTTGTCTTTAAAGTGTGCTATATAAATCAAATGTATTATTATTATTATTATTATTATTATTATCATGAACGCAGGAGGCTGGCTGTATATCTGAACTCGCGCCCTCATCATTCTCTTCATCATCTTGCACTTGTGCTCAGCTGCTGCTGATAGTGCTTGTAGGTCAGTCAATTTGGTCAGTCAATTTGTGACATTTCTTTGCTTCACCTTTTTCTTTTCGTTTTCTTTGATTTGTATCCATGTTTTTTCATTCTCCCTGTCTGTCTGCCGCGGCGTCTACCCTGCTGAAAAACCAGCTTAGACCAACTGAGCTGGCCAGGCTGGTCAACCAGGCTGACCAGCTGGCCAGGATGGCTAAAAAAATGCTGGTCACCAGCATCCATCTATCACCAGTTTATGTTTGATAATAGTATTAAATATACCATGCTGGAAGCTTACCAGGATTCCAGGTGACCAGCATACATTAAATACCAGACAGACAGACAACAGACGACAGACAGACAGACGGACGGACGGACGGACGGACGGACGGACGGACGGACGGACGGACGGACGGACGGACGGACAGACAGACAGACAGACAGACAGACAGACAGACAGACGGTGGAGTTTCTCAGGCTCCGGCAGCAACTTCGTGAGCGGCAACTTCGTAAGGCATCGTGAGGGCATCTTGTCAAGTCGTGTCATCTTCGTGTTATCATCGGTGCATTCACCCTCACTCTGATCGGGGCGAATGCCCGATGGCACCGATGATAACAAGAAGCCCTCACGATGGCCTTACGAAGGGCAACATTGACACACAAATTCAACACGAAAATGAACCTTCGCAAGGTCCTTCGGCAATTTTTTGGCATGCCAAAGATTTTGCCACCGCTCACGAAGTTGCTGCCGGAGCCTGAGAAACTCCACCGGCGGTCATACGAAGGCTTAAGATGCCCTCACGAATGGCCCGATGTTGCTACGATCACAGCCGAATTTGAACATTTCCTTTATCGTGTGTCCATCGGGTTGTTTTATTGCACAACAAAATCATGTAAATATATTATGTAAATAACCCAATTTGTGTTCTGTGAAACTAAAAAGGATATAATATATTATTTTGAAGGACAGTTGACAGGAAGTTGTTGTTGTTATGGAAACAACATTACGGAGAAAACGTAATATTTTCTACATATAACGACGGATAAAGTAAAGAACAAAGTCTGAAGATATCAGTACTGTATCATAGTACTGTAACATAATTGTTTTTGGTACTTTCATTGCAGTTGTATGTCTTAAATGTAATGTAAATGTTGCCTTCGTGTGTGGTTCGGGGCCATCTTCGTGCGAAATTTACAATTCCATATTCGTGTGTCCATCGGGTGTCAATTTCGGGACAGTGTGACAGGGGCTTTACACATGTAACATAAAAACAACAGAACAACAATAAGGATGACAAACAACATAATGTACAGGGTACAGTTTACAAACTCTATTTACAGAGACAGGTACCATGAGTATCAAACAGCCTGTCACCCAGCTGAGTTTTAAAGTGATGCAGGGGAACCAAAGTGCTCAGGTTTAAACATGTTTGCAGACTGTTCCATGTTAGTGGAGCTGCACAACTAAAAGCTTTCTTCCCTAAGTCAGTCCTAGCACTTGGCACATTTAATAAAACAACATCATGAGATCTCAGGCAATCTGTACTTTCAATTCGTCGAGAGATCAGAGAGCAGATATAAAAAGGTAGTTTACCCAACATGGCTTTGTAAATGAACATGTACCAATGACTGAGCCTCCGTACAGTTAGTGAAGGCAGACCTGCCTTGGCATACAGGGTACAGTGATGAGTAAGTGCTTTACAGTTAGTAACACATCTCAGGGCACTGTGATAGGCGGCATCTAACTTTTCCAGGCAATGGGCAGGTGCATTCATATAGATCAGATCACCATAGTCCAGCACAGGTCAAAGGTCACAGAGCCTTTTCCTGGCTTCAAAAGAGAAACAGGACTTGTTTCTGAAAAAGAAACCTAGTCTAACCCTCAGCTTTCTAAACAGGTTATTGACATGAAGTTTAAAAGTGAGACAATCATCAAGCCAGATACCTAGGTATTTATAACTGGTAACCACTTCAAGTACTTACTTACTCTTACTTTGAAATCATGCGGAAATGTCGTCATCAGCAGGCCATCACGTGGTTTTCCGAAAATAACCGAGTGACACGAGTAGATTTTAGCCGAGACCGACGACAAGTATGTCTCAAAACTCCGTGTGTAAAAAGACGATCCACAAGCAGAGATTTGAGATCCGTAAGCGCATTTTTGGTCGACAAATACAAAATGGATTCACAAATGCCTGATCGAAAGTTGTAAATGTTAAAGAGATATTCTCAGATCTTTTTTTTATTTGTGAAAATATTTAGCGTATTTGCAGATCCGTTTACATTTATTTGTGAGTTTGCAAATCTTTTAAATGCATTTGTGGTGTTTTACATTCAAATCACATATTTACACACAAATTATTGTTATGTTCACACAAATAATTATGAGACATATATATGCCCATACCATGCCTCATACTGCTCATACCCCTCTTTTGCAGTCCTGTTAGAGAAACGCGGATTTTGGGTCCTTAGCTTGAAAAAGAAAGAAGAGGAGGCGGAGTTAATGCCTGATCAGAATTCTACCGGAGATAAAGTTAAATTCTGCTGTGATAAAACGCCATCCTGTTTAAACCACAACAAAGATTATTTCTGAAACAGTATGGAGCTCAAATGCTTTTTCTCTTGCGGGTTTATCACAAGGTGAGTTTTTTTATTTCCTGCTTTTTAAACACATGTGCTCCACAGTACAGGTTAGCTCTGAGTGTTAGCGAGGCTTGCTAACGTAAACAAAGACGAGATTACGTCCAAAACACGTCAGGCATTGTTTCTGATAGCAATTTTCTGTGGGTCCGCTGCAGATTTGACGTCAGATCGGCAGCAAATCTGTATCTGCTCGTTGTACACCTGTTTTTAAAAGATTTGGGTACGGAGGAAAAGAGAAAGGGTTTTATTTGCTGACGCTGCGTGAGTTCCCTGGGACACATATTTATTTATAAAAGACATCACAAAGTGCATTTTGCATGATAGCTCCCCTTTAAGGTTTAAATGCAGGACTTTTACCTCCTCTGTTGTTACCTTTTACTCAAATACTTAATAAATTCAAGGTATTAGTGATTTACTTCAGTATTTCTATTTTCTGCTACTATATATTTAGTTCCAGTAATATTTATAAGTTCTGTCCAGATAAAACCATGTATTTCCAGATGTGTTGGTAACTTTTACTTTAACTACATTTTGCTCTTCAATCAATATGTTTACTTTAAAGCAGGGGTGCCCAACTTTTTTTGAACCGAGAGCTACTTTTAAAGTTGCCAGTCTGCCGAGATCTACCAGTCCAAATAGAGAGGCGTAG